AAAATAAATTTAGTTAGAAAATGTTTGAAAAATAAGAATTCAGATTTCTTGATTATTAAATCAATATTAAACAATGCTTTGATCCTTTATGATGATTAATTATAAATACGAGTATAACATTCTTAATTGATAAAAGTATCTTCCTCTATTATTATATTAAAGAAATATAAATTTAAAGAATTAGGAGATTCTCAGTTTTAAAAGTTCTAACAATATATCGCTATAAATCTATTATTACTTCGTCATCAACTTAAAAGATCTATTAAAAATTATCTAAAAATTAATTATTACTTTTATTAATTTTTGTCTTGAATAAAAGTCTTGTAATGTATCAAAAAAGATTTATCTATGTATTTAAATCTAGTTCCATATGAATTTGAAATTATATATTCATGTATTTCTTCATCTTTACTCGAGATTTGCATAGTTTATCGATTTTAACCGTGAATCACCCTGTATAGGTATTCCATTAAGCATTATTTCACTCAGGTCGCAGTTAAGCATAGCCACGAGTGCGAATGAAAATTATATAGCAGAACTACATACGTTCTCCGTATACTTTTTCTTTTTTTTGCGGCCTTCCGCCTCCGTTGTGCTTCTTTAAATGAAATCTGTTTTACAACGATGCAGTTAACGTGCCACTGCATGCGACGCTCTCGGCGAGAATTGACAGCAGTCCAGATGAATACGAAAAGAGAAATTATAAGTATAACAAGAGAGAGAGAGAGAGAGAGAGAGAGAGAGAGAGAGAGAGATAAAAGAAATAAAAGAGAAAATCAAATTATGTACTTCTCATTTTCGTATTAAGTGAATAATTGGTACATACTTTGGCTGGTTGGGAACGAAACAAATCGCAAACATGGATAAATTGTTACGTCAAGAATTGCTTCAACATGATCACTTAAACATCAATGTTTTTAATTCTGCAATTTTAAATTATGCATGCATTTTGATTTATATGCAACTCGGTAAAAGAATTTACTTGTCTAAATTCAACATTCATTTATATTTACGGGATACCTTTTAAAGATGCAAGAAATCTGCGGAATGCAAGCGAACACTCATGATGAGAGGTTTGACCGATGAATATCGGGGTTGAAAACAATCTGTATCTATTATTCATGACGGCCAACGTTCAATATGAAATTATAATCGACCACTCGTGCGTCAATCGACCAAATTGGACCATAGTTCCTCTCAGGCTTGCGGAACGTGGGCAGGAAGTGCCATTTATGAATCCGAAACAAAGGCAATATAGATGATTTGATCGCGGCAGACAAGATAGTAGACATACTATTTGTTTTCAATGCCGGAAAATATTCAGAGAAATTTAACTGATACTCTTTTACTCTCCTACACGTAAATGCGTCTTTTAAAAATTGTTGGTGTATTTTTATTTCATATGATAGTTATTGTGATTAAGTTTAAAATTTAACCAATCTAATTGTATTTAATTTGAGTTATTTTTAATCTTTTTTGTAAGTTTTACCACTGTTTCGCGCAACTCAGCACAACCGTTATATTCGCCGATACACCGATATTAAGGGTACTTTACTCTTGAGCGCGGCTCTTCGCCCAAGGCTTTTTTGTTCAAAATTCGGGTTTGTAGAGCTTCCATGTTATCGATACTGTATATCTGAGTTGTGCTAGCGTAGCACAACTCAGCGTAACCGTTAAATTCGCCAACACACCGATATTAAGGGTACTTTACTCTTGAACGCGGCTCTTCGCCCAAGGTTTTTTTGTTCAAAATTCGGATTTGTAGTGCTTCCACGTGATCGATACTGTATATCTGAGTTGTGCTACCGTAGCACAAATCGGGCACAACTCAGCACAATGTTTATTTTGCCGATTAAACAAAATGGCGGTGCTGGCAAACAAACGTTTTTTTTTTTTTTTCAATTAAACGCTTTGTTTTTTATATATGTCATTAATTCTTGCGGCACAATATGGCACAAATCGAGCACAACTCAGCACAATATTTATTTTTCCGATTAAACAAAATGGCGGTGCTAACTTCACGCACATGAGATATTCCTCTTGCTGCTGTGTCGATCTATGAGACGCTTCTTTCCAAGCGCCAAATAGTTACTTTCTAAAGTGTTCTTGGAGACTCGGCGCGCTTCAAGAGAGAAGATAATTCTGTTTACTAGTCGAAATTGTCGCGTTTATATATTAACGAAGGAGTGACGTCTCGCGATAAGGTGTTATTTTTGCGTGTGTTAGTCGACCATGAGAATTTTTGTAGAATGTTCTTTTTATCCGGAAATCTACATTTTCCCTCTTAAAACGAATTTTAATCGAATTTTCAGTGCAGCAATCTTTTAGGGCGACCCATTTATAGCTACGGTACTGTAATGTCAGTACTTATGGGCGCGCGTACTGCATCGCAGCGAAGGAAGAAACAACGCGATGTTTTTATGCATAAGATTCTCGGTATCTTTCGTTCGGTTGCTCGAACGTTCTTTCTTCTAGTTAGCAAATTCTAATGTTTACTTAGGCTTTTTAATCGTAAGTAAGACTAAGCATGGCAGAATTCTCCTTAAACACGATCGCCTTTTTAATGAGAATTATTATATCAAATGCATTTTTATGCAATCAATTCGCCGTTTTATTTAAAATAAATGCTGGGCGATAGTAGCATCAAGCATTCGCGAGATGAAGATGTAATATAGGGCTGCCGCGGGTGCATCTACTCTATCCGATCGTTATGATGGTTGCTTTTTAATCCATGTTTTTAATTGTATTATCTTATAAATTAATTGGCGCACGCGCAGTGTGCGCGTTGTTCAATTTTAGCCGTTTCTCGGAGCATGTTTTATAATATTTATTATATTATTTCATAACATGGAATATAGTGCTCGCGGTATGTATATATTGTGTACTAACTCAGGTGACGTAAAATCGCGTGTATGTACGCGCGGCTGACGTTACAAGCATTATAAATATTGAAATTGCAGTCGAATGGTCTTAAAGAAGCTCAAGCTATATGTTAGTTTAGGTGTCGATCGCTGAAATGCTATACCATTTTATCTTATAATTAATGTAGCTTAAGATTCATTATTAACATAAACATGAGAGATTCGCGTAAGAAAAAAATAATTTTAATGCTTACGGCTGACTCATCGATTTATTTTATATCCGTTTTTTATTAAAATATTCAATACCTTTTTTATGCACTTGGTGTATATTTTTTCTTTTTGTTAAAAAGGTTTTTTAAGGGATAATCTTTCTATTGATGTTTTCTTATGCAGCTCTGGACTAAACTGATAATCTTATTCTCTTTCTGTATTGTTTGCTAAGTTTCTTAAAATTAAAATTTATTTTGTGTAAATAATTGTACTTATTCTTTCAAGATAAATTTAGTATCGATTTAGTATCGATAAAAACAAGACACCTTTCTTTATTATTTAACCTTTTTTTTTATGCTTACTTACATTATTACTACATATTTTATTATTACAATATATACAATATATATATATATATTATATATATATTTTACATCTTATTTAAATTATTATTATAAATAGAATCAAGTACTAAAATATCTAAAACTGTTTAGTATTGTTCACGATGTTAGATATCCAATAAAAATTACAAATAATTTTAATCCTGTTTACGCACGTAACGGAAATAATTATTACTTTATCGATTTACGCAATAGTGATATGTAACGAACTAAAAGATAAACCTGTTTAGCAATAAAAATCAGTTTATGTTCTGATGTGAAAGTTACTAGAATAATCGGAATGTATGTTGCATATACCATACGCATAATTACAAAGTTGAATGCATAAATGCCACTCGGTATTAATGTTTGACTTGATTAAACGTGAACTTTGATATACTCCCGTTGCACGGAAAAAATGTACGAAATTTTAATGAATATTTGTTCAGATAGTATTACTGTAAGCAAATCTCATTGGTATTATTTAATCTAAATAAATTTTTGAAATTTCATGTATGATGTTTTATGTAAGATTATATTAAATCTAAATATTATAATACTTTAATTATTAAGATCTAATTGTTTTGCTCGTAAGGGTCGTTCACTTATTGTTGTTTTTCTAAATAAATTTATTAAAAATTCGTAAATTTTTTTCAGTGTGGGACTTTTAATTTGATTAAAAGCGTCTCCAAACGATGTAACCGTGTAAAATGTTTACATGTTTCACATATTCGCTAAATATTGGCCTATACATTCAATATGGAAAATTATATCATGTATGTGAGCGATATTTGCTAATATTGGAGAACGTTAGCCATATCGTCTGGGGACGATACTCTAGAAATGTTTTAACATTTCTAATTTTAAATAAAATGGCATTAAAAAGACAAAAACATTTCTGAGACTTTTTATAACGTTGTAACAAGTCGATACTATAATTTCTGTAAAATTTTATTATAGCACCGTGCAAAAGTATAAACTTTTAGTTTTAAACTGCATTAATTTTTTTTTATATAATTTTTTACAGACAAAATACATCAATTTAAAGTAATTTTTAGAAAAAAATTTTGTATTAGTGCTATAATGTCATGAAAACTTAAATTTGTTATATTTTTTGTCTCTTTGACATTTATCTCAAACTGTGACATGTTAACTAAATAAATAATTTTATATTGTCAAGAATAAAGAATTTGATAAGGATCCACGTATTGATTGATTGCGTACCAACGACAACGCTGCACTCTCACTCGTCCCTGACTTTGAAATTCTTTTTATAAATAATTTGTCAATGGATTTGTATTAGAGAAAATTTGTATATATGGTAGAAGAAATACTCTAGAAATGATTATTATTTATATTGCGCAAAATAATAGACAGTGTTATATCATATCAGATAATTTGTATAATAAATTTGGTAAATCTGAGACCCTTAGTACAATACATATAACAATCATATAACAAGAGAATATATTTTCATCATATTTAAACATAAATTCTGTTAATATATTAATATATAATATTTGTTAATATATAATACAATAATATCGTGCTATATAGGGTTTGTACGAAAATAATACGATCCGCGTCTGAAAAAAATATTAAAAGTTAATATTATAATATTTTTTATTATTCTATAAAAATAATTGTTAATTTGTCTATTTATGGAAAATAATTAAGTCAAATATTAAGTATTGTCTTACATATTTTTTGCTGTATATCCAACATTGATCGATAAAGGCTTACTGCAGTAATTGAATATATAATGGAGGTAGGAAGAACATTTCTTTGCAACAAATTTGGTAGGCTTTATTTTCAAGTTTGCATATAGCACGACAGATTTTTGATGACTACAGAGATCTAGCAACCACATAAAAAGAACAATTAAAACAAAACATTGATAAATTAATTTTTTGCAATTTTATCATATATCAAGTGCATCAAACATAATTATTTTAAAATGTTTGTGATAAGGTTCAATATGTATTAAACAACTATTATAATATAAAGAGATAAGGGCAATGAGCCAATAATTTCGTTAAAATCTTTAAATTAATCTAATATATTGCGAAGAATATCACGTAATTATGGCGTTTCGTCCCAGCTTCCACTACTGGACTCATCAGTAAGGCATTGTAGTGGAAGCCTACCTTAGACGCCTGTGTAAGTTATTAAATCGAGATTCTATATAAAAAAATATACGCGTATCAAAGCACTTGCGAGAATTTTGCGAATATCTATAGACCTCTAATGGCGGGTCGACGTAGTAATATTCTTCGCAATATTTATTTAAAGTAATATATGTATTCCCCTATCACCTCCCCCCACACTTGCGCGCCGAACAATCGTCGGTCTTAATAATTATTTTAAATAATTCTTGATAATTCTTCAAACATTAAAAACTATCAAAATAACTACAGTCAATGTGCATATAAAAACTCTCTGGAATTTTTTCAATTTAATTAAAATTGTTTTAACATTAATAATTACTTGTAATATATCAAGCAATAAAAATTAATTATTTAACGATGACTAATTTACTGAATTAGTTTACATTGTAAAAAATGACAATGCTAATTAAATTACATTAATTATTACCGTCATTGCTTAATGGTACGCCCAGAAATTGGCAACCAGGTTGAGGACGAGTTCCACCGTTCACGTAATAGTCCGCTGTACCCATAGATGTCGGAGTGCCATATCCACCCTTGTCTGTGTGGATGACATCGAGCCACTCCGCGTCCTTGGATGTAAGATAACATCCAGGAAGATAAAAAAGAGGATTTGCAGGATCCAATCCTATAAATAATAATTTTACACTAAAGAATGTTTTTTTTAACAATCTACATGTTATATCGTATAAAATTATAAATTATAAATCTCTTAGCAGACACTTTTATCAACCTCTTGTTAACGTGAAAAATAGCGATAAGTGAAAAATATAAAATAAATGTATTTGTTATTTGTGAGAGAGAGAGAGAGAGAGAGAGAGAGAGAATCATTTACAATAACAAGAAAGATTAGAAATGAAAATAAAACCTGTACATACTGAAGATAATTTAATTGTATATACCTGTAATGCGAGGTATCTTGAAGGCATTGCATTTACCAGCATAGCCAGCTATGTGAGCACCTAACGAATGCCCGATAATATAAATTTTCGATACGTCTAAGCCACTTTCCACAAGTAGTTGCAAACTTCGTGCAAATAAACTGCCTACTTTTTCAGCATCTCTAAAAACGGATGCATAAGAGCCATTAGAGTATTTACTCCAATCAAGTAGTACAATATTGTCCGTTCTTTCATAACAAAGTGCTATAAATGATATAAATATATTAATCATTTCTTGCTGACTTTATAACAATCTACTTGTTTCTTTTTCTGACATGTATTATACCTTCCATCATTAACTGAACATTTGAATCCTCCGGATATTGTAAATATCCATAAATGTAAAAGATTACCCGTTTGTTAGTATCCAGCACATTGAGTAACGTCTGTGGCACTGTGATAGGATAGGCGATTGTTGCAGGAATTTCACTATTACTGAGAAGCGCGTGCTTATACTAATTATTATTGCTAATTATTATTGAGACGTTTTATTGTGAATACAAACCATTTATAATAAATTAGGTTGACACCAGTCGCGAAATCTAAATCTGTTTGATTACCTGAAGAATAATATGCACACAATATTAATACATATTCTCAACATTTGTAAAAATATGTAAAATACATACAAGAACACGAGGATTGGCCATATGATATCCTTGTCACAAAAAATAATAGAACGTATAGATATACAATCGACGGTAACATTTTAAACGAAAGAATTGTACAAACTGCGAGAAACACGTACGCTTTCAATCTAGACCTTGACTGGATCGTGTCGATATGTCATTCTACATAAAGACTCCGATTCCAACGTAATATATACCCGTCGTGCGCACGTGCTACTTTCAGATAAACTAACTTGCGACATAAGCCAAATTATAAGTTATTTCTCGCATAAACGTAAATGGGTGCCACGCGCAACTTTAAATTGCACTTATCATTTCTGTATAAAAAAAAAAGGAAAAATGTAGCTAAACTCTCTTTTTCAAAAATATTAATATATATGGAATTTTACATACAAAGGATTATAATAAAAGGAAGTAAATTATCTGTTAAACACGCCATTTTCTTAGTTAGATATGTAGATAATATTGCATTAGCAGCTCCAAATTCTTTAGATAAATTGATTATTATTTTCAACAATAGATAGGTCTTCATAATGGAGACTGAGAAATATAGGAGATGTATTATTAAATATGGTTTATACATTAAGGGAAAATGATCACTTAACGATCCCCAGACAGCATGCTTGTCAGAATGAAAACTTTAAGAGAACTTTTTCAAGAGAACATTTAGTTATCTTTAAAATGATGTCTAAACGATATCTCATAATAATTATTTATTAGAGAATCTACCAAGAGAATTCTTTAAGATATCCGATTTGAGAGATGTCTTGAAATTGTTATCTTTATGATGTCATGCTAAATGATATTAGTTTGTTCTCTCATAAAAGATATCAATATGTTGTATGATTTTTGACAGTTCAGAAACGAGACATAGAGAATTATGATATCTTTTATGAGAAATTCATTTGATGTTATTAAGAAAGATTCTGTTTCAAAGATGCCAGAAGGTTTGTAGATTATCGCGCCAACGTTCTGTGAATTCATAATCTTGCCATTCACTTCATCAGGGCGATGGTGCAGTGATACTTAGCAATTTCGGGTGGGACGCACTAGTGTACACTGGTGCATGTTAAGTCCGTGTACAATGTACATGTTCGTGCATATGTTATATCCGTGTACTACCGCGGTGGTAGATTAACAGTGTACGGTTTTAATATGCACCAGTGCACACTCATTTTTCCAGCCGAAATCGCTAATAGATACGTATCAGTGCATTCCTCGCCCTGATAAAGTGAACGGCAAGATTAATTAATTCAAACCTGCAAACATAACCTGTAAACCCTCTTTTTAAAGAAATTTATATATTAACATATAACAGATTTCTTTAAGACATCATAAATATGAATATATATGTTAATCATAAAGATGTCCAATTTAAGAAATCTTTTAAATATCATTTTTGTGACATCTTTCTGTTCTCAAAAAACGACGCATTAGATAACATTCAGTTATCTTTATGTGATCTTTAAGAAGTTTCTCTAAGTTATCAGATTCAAAAATAAGATATCTTTTAGAAACCTTTTGGATAACATATTGTTATTTGGGAAGCAAATATAAGATTTTTTTAATGAAAAACAAATTTTCGTTTTGTATACTTATAGAATAGAGTTTTCATCAGTTGCATAAAAAACAAAATATATGATATAAATATGATTTAAAGTATTTTACATTATTTATGATCAGAAAAATTGGTCTTTGATCGTAACGATCGTGCCCCTTGTGCTCGCTCGCGTCGGACAGTAAGTGCGCCGCCCCTGCTTACCTTTTTTACGCGGCTCGTAATTCGCTATAACATTATCTTTTAATAATTCAAAAAGTAAACATCGAATATAAAATTTTCATACAGGAAAAATCGTGTCAGTCAGGAATACGTCTTTGCAAAGACTTGGGGTTGTTCTGAATCACCCTGTATATAGATTGTATTGTAGTATAATGTTGAATTTATTATAGATTATATTATATTACAATGTAATGGTTATATTAAGGCGCCTCCAGATGATATGGCCAACGTATAGATACGTTAACTTTGCACACATTCGTTAAATGTTGGTTTCAATATAGATAATTACATATATCATATCTATGATATTTGCTAAAATTGACATATATTAGCCATATCATCATGGAAACATTTTAAACATGTATACATGATATCACAAATGCAATTGTACAATTGACTAAGAATAAGAACAGATAATGAAAGAATAAGATTAAGAAATAGCAATAATAAAAAATGTAAAAATAAGACTTCAAGATACATATTATGATAAAATGTAAATATAAGTAATAAGGACATGACCCGGTTGCGCGATCGGTACGGAGATTTCAATCGTAGCAACGTAATTGTAATCATGAGAATGCTGACGATTATGTACCGACAGGGCAAGGACATAAGACCACGAGGATAAAAACCAAAAGAAAGAGTACAGGTCACTCGATTAATTCACATCACACGGTCACCTATGACATTTGTCAGCTATTTGTTAGTAATTAAAAGTGTTATTTATACTTTAATATAAGAATAATTCTAACAAGTATTGAAGTGTGTTAATTAAAGTTTATTAATTGTTAAAAAAAGATTTGATTCATTTTCTTTTAGTCGTTAGCACAAATCTCGAATCCTGTGCTGACCAAGGCACAATAGTATTAAATATAAAATAGAGGAGGGGGGAGAGAGAGAGAGAGAGAGAGAGAGAGAGAGAGAGAGAGAGAGAGAGAGAGAGAGACCAATTAAAAATATAGAAATTTTTCCCATTTATTGCCACAAGATCGATCAATTTTGGGACAAAATAATCTAATGAGGAGATGAATCTGCTACTTCCTGCTCAGCCATCGATGAATGTTATTTATAATTTGAACCACTGACGATGGCTCGAAATGTAGCCGAAACGTCTGAATAAAGTCTACAAGTACTCATATTAAAATAAAACCTTTAATTTGCACGACCAACCGCAATTTTAACTCTCACTAGCCCGTTATTTATTTTTATTTATTTGACATTCTCGAGAGTTTTAATTTAGATTTGTTTTTAATTAAAAATATGTTTTGATAGGGTGATTCAAAATTCCCGCACTCGGAGTACAAGACGTAATACTTTACGTTAAAACAAACAACTTTTTCCTTTAACAAAATTGCGTCCGACAAATAGTTTTTGCAGTAGAGCATGTTAAATTTAACGAATAAGCGTTGTTGTCTACATGGCGCTCAGGGTCGGCGCGCGATCCTCACTCGCGTGTACATATCTCCGCTATTATTCGAAAATAATTGAAGATTCAAATATAGCTCTATTACAAATTAGTTTATGACATCTTAATACAGTCTTAAATAATACATAATAATAATAATAATAATAATTGCTTTCGTCACTTACGTAATAAATGATTAAAAGGATTGTCTCTGATGCCGTCGCACTATTTAAAAATGTAGATACATTTGAATACAATACGTTTTGCGAGATGAGAGTTCTAATTCTAAATATCACACAATTGCGTATGATAATAAATATCATTAAACTTAAAGAATAACTTAATGATTATGTGAATACATAACTCTCAAAATACGAACATGACGTTTCGACTCTAAATTTGAGTCATCTTCAGATGTCACATTATACGAAGATGTATCTGCGTTTATTGTTTTCTCAGAAAATAAGAGACTAATCACGGAAATGTTCCATATTAAAAGATAAAAGCAGGGTTTAAATAGATAAAATAATACTAACTTATTACCACTCTTATCTCCAAATCATACAATCCCTTTCCTCTTCGTAGTCCTTTTTACCAATTCCTTTTCCATTTCTCTCTTCCTTATGCTCATTTCTAGTCGCCTTCCATAAATTTTTCGCCAATTAAAGTACAAATTATATGTGATTCAGTGATTGCTTGCAGACATTTAAAAGAATGACTCGTTGTGTTTATTGTTCATACTAATAACTACTTTAATTACTGATAAATACTCTGTCATATTGTTTTCAGCTGTTCTATAGTGGTAGACTTAACGAATATTGTTAGATATATGTTAGACATTTTATATGTATTAATAATAGTATTATATAATTACGAAAATCTATTTGTGAAACAGTCTCATTTTTTGAAGTGTCAACAATCAGCGGATGTGGCAAGTTGGCAACGGCTGAAATTCCATCAACGGTCTGAAAAGGGACGTACACAGCGCATTCGATGTATTTTACATCGTAAGAAGCTAAGAACGTAAAATACCTAGTATTTTACATATCTAAACTGTGTAATTTACATCGAGTATTTTACCTGTCCAACCTTAAACGTGACTATACGTTACTCTCGGCGTCATGCCAGCTCGGTCATTATAGGACAGTGACGTTATGGACCCTTCATTTTCGACCGAATGGCCCTTGCTACTAACCAACCATAGTGAGGATGCGTACCATTAGTTTCCAAATAATTATACATTAAAGCCAGAAGAAAATTGAAAAATTAAACTAATTGTAAATATAAAATAAATGAGCAATTGAAAAATCATAAAATGCATATCAACAACATTTTTATGCATGCAATATAATAATATATAAAATATTTCTACGAATAAAAAATGTTCATGGTTTTGGAATAAAAATTTTACTTAAAATGTTCTATATACATATATCTACATAAATACTTATAAAAAATTATATGTATATATATATATATATATATATATATACCATATATATATTTGGCATTAAGATAAGATACCTTCTTTCTCAAAAATTCTTTCTTTTTCAAGAGCAAAATTATCTTACTATTTCAACTACTATTTTATATAATGGATTATTTACTGAACGTGGAAAAGAAATTCCTGAAAAATTATTTGCTATATTATTATATAATACGTGAAAAACATCCTAATCACATTTTCCAGTCCCATTCGTAGAACTCGATATAGATATATCGCCGCGTATTTTACATTAAATGAATAATCTCCTATTCTCCTAGTATACGTGCCAGTGCGTCAAAGCACCTGGTCGCATCGTCCCGCGTCCAGTTGAGCTGAGCCAAGTCGCATCTGCGTGCGTGTCGCACGGGCGAGATTAATAAATCGCGCGTGTGAAGTCTCTCCACCTTTCTCTCGCGCCGACGCGACGTGCGTGCTGCCCGCGAAAAATCTAC